CATCAGCATGTTTTGCCACCAGCTGGTCCCGGAGCCGTCCCCCAGGGGATGTGCTGCTTGCGGAGTGCGGACGCTGTGCTGCGGAGGGCCTCCTAAAGCAAATATTATGGCCCTTCTCCAGGAACGGTACAAAAAAATAGCTGGTTATTTAGATAACGAGGAACCGGGTCCCGCCACCTGTGGCTGGAAAACACGTCTGTGTTTTCCTAAGTTTTGTGTCCACCACCCATGGATCACACAGCAGAGCCTGAGCCGCTGCCCATCTCATCCACGCCCGTGAGAAATACCGGTGGCAGTGCATTTTGCTTTGTGAATGTTTCTCTGTTCTTTGCGTTGTGTTGTGTTCTGTTTCCTTAAAGAAGTGGACAGAAACACAGGTCCACACGAGTGGGTTTGCGACGGGCAGTGTGACTGGCACGGTTCTGCTCCAGCCTGGTCCCCGGGCAGGCCAGGCGGCCCGCCACGGGCGCGTGCATTGCACGTGGGGCACCAGCACAGGCTGCTCGCCGGCGTCTGTGGAACGGGGGTGCTGGACCTGCCCGAACCGTCGGGTCGCATGAACATCAGGTGAGAGAGAGACCCTTTGTGAAAGAGCTTTCTCACGGGAAGCGCCGCACAGGTGGAAGATGATACTACTGACAAAACTTCAACTCTTGGCAAAACGCTCAACAAATTACTTTTCTTAACTACGTTTGCTGATTTCTCACACTGATGCTGGATATGCTGACTTTCTGTCTGTAGTTACATTTTTGGTTGGTTTGTAAATGAAAAAAAAGTTTGGTTGATTTTTTTTTTAAAGTACGCTAACAACTGTCATCACCCAGGGCGTTATAATCACTGTGTTCCACGTGTCAGGGTGGCTCTTACCTTCACAAAGGTGATCCTCAGAAATTAAATAAGCATTGTTTTGAAAGGACATCAGTCCCCTTTGTGTTTAAATAATAATATTAGCAGAGGTATTCGGAGACTTTTCTTGGTAACCGTTCCAGTAGGTGGTAGTGAGAGAATACCTGTTGTCCCCAAGGCAACGAGAAAGTGACACCAGGTAAGCCCTTCCGGTCTCCGACTGTCCGCTGCAGCTCCCCATGAATTGCTCTTGGCTGACTTACAAATCGGTACATTTAAACTAAGGGCTCTTACGTGATTAGGGCTAAATAATTAATCCACATATATTCTTAATTCTCATGTGGGCTCTCATGTTCACCACTCAGAATACACACTTCTGAGCTTGCGCTTGTGACTTTTGTTGTGGCAAGCTGTGTTCAAAGGCCTTTTCTTGCTTTTAGACCCCGTGTGTTGGGAGAGAAGGGCTGGTTTGTGTTGGCAGAGTCGGGCTGCGGGCCTCCCTGGTCCCAGGAGCCGTCATTCTCGTGCCAGCATCGCGCTGGAGGGAACTGTCCCAGAATCAATATTTGCAGAGGAAAGTTCTCCCAACCTACTCTTATTCTGATCAGATAAATGAAAAAATGAAGCTCAAAAATCTAAATAACTGCTTCCTCCTCCTCCCACCCCATGAGCCGCACCCAGAGGAGGCATGAAGAGAGAAATTGCCTCCTTATTCCTTCACATTAATCTCTGTAGGAAAGGGGCATGGAGCCCTCCCTTTTAGGTGACTGACTGTGTATTTTATACACGAGGCTTCATGGAGAAGTCATAAATCCTTAAAAGTCCAATATAAATTAAGTTTTTGTTCTCAAGTAGTATATATGAGCTACCAACTACACTGCATTTTTGGAACCATAATATTTGGTATTTCCAAGAAAATAACGTTAACTATGTATTGGAAGAGACCAAGGTCTTGAGCCCTGGCCAGGTGGCTGAGTTAGTTGGAGAGTCATCCCATGCACCTAACAGTTGCTGGTTCAGTTCCTGGTCAGGGTACGTGCTTAGGTTGCAGGTTCAATCCCTGGTCAAGGCGGATATGGGAGGCAACCAATCAGTGTTTCTTTCTTATATCAGTGTATCTTTCTCTCTCCCTCCCTCCATCCCTCCCTCTTTGTCTGAAAAAAAAAAAAAAATCAACAACCCAACAACCATATCTACGGGTGAGGATTCAAAAAAGAGAGAGTGACCAAGGTCTTTTCTTCATGACCAGAGTGCTGAGGCCAGGAGTCCACCAGAGCTTTGAGAGTCTCTCCATTATGCTGATGGAGACAGATTGCTGAGTTCCCTTTGCCAAGTCCCTTAACTTGCTTGTGTTTCTGATTTTTGCTCTGTTAACCAAAGTGTAATGCAGGACAAATATATTGAGGTCTTCAAAGACGTGACCAAAAAATGTAGCACTGTTGTCGAGGAGAAGCTGGAACTATAGGACTGAGTTTTTGTCCCAAGTAAGCATTTGTGCTGATCTCTTGCCCCCTTGATTCTGTTAATATGTATTAAGAATTTTGCCTAAAACTCAAAAAAATAGTATTAACTCTCAATTCTGAAATTGTTTTTCATTGTTCTGAATGTCCTATTTCTTAGAGTAATAAGGTAAGGAAAAGCAATACCTCTACCCAGAGCATTGTTGTTTTAAAAAACAAAACATAAACTTAATAGGTAAAAAAAAAATACAAAATTTACTTTTCTTCATCAAAACTAAAACTTGAAGGAACAAAAGTTCAAATAAAGCCTAAATTAAGTGCTAAGGTATTCTTGCTGCTCCATGTGGGTGCATTTGTCATTGGTATGGCATCAAATTGCGCCCCCACCTCCAAGAAAATTACGGCCCATTACAGGATGAGAAAAGATTACTTCAGTTAGTAGAGTGGAGTTCCTTACTTCAATTAGTAGAATGGAGTTCCAGCCCATTGCCTCTTTAAGTGGAATTTAGGTTGTTATTCTATACTTTATTTTTTCCTTTGCATTCGCCTCTAGTTTTTCAGAGAAAACATTCGTGTTTTTCTTTATTCTTAAGTTTCCTCCTAATCGAGCAACAGTAGCAACAGGGGACCGTTTTTGAACAAGCACGAATGGAACTTGCTGGAAATAGAAGAAAAGCTTCTGCCCACCTTCCCTGCTCCTGCTTTGCCTTTAGATGCTCAGGTGGTAGGAGTTGTCCTAGGTACCCGTGGAGTTGAACAGAATTTCCCTCCCCTCTCTTTTCATAAACAGTTATGAAAGACGGGGCTTATATAAGTGGTATCGTCAAGCCGTGCCGTTCTGGTCACTTGGGGAGAAATTGTTCGTCCCGTTGGCAATTACGGGGCTCATGCTGTGTGTACAGCGCAGAAGTGGGTGTAAAAGGCATGCAAATGCGAGAGGTACATGAAATGATATTTTAAAAAATACAGAGCAGAAAGCATAGTGTTTAAAAGTACACAAAACAAGGCAAACTGAATCCAAGAGTACAGTGGGTAACCTCAGTGTCAACGAGGTTGGTATATTTATAGTCTTCTTTTTAATTTAAAAAACTTTTTTAAATTTTTGGTTTGCAATGGAGAGGGCAAAAAAATAGACACTGTGATAGATATCAGCAATAACTCTTCTACTTAGGAATCATCCTTGATCACTTCTTCTCCCCCCTCACGTTACCCCCTGCCATCAGTTCATGGGCAGATTGTGTTCATTTTATCTAAAACTGCAGCTCAGACCCTCCATGTTCCTTCAGCTCCTTGCCCCCTGCCTGGTCTGAGGCAACGCCATCTCTCACCATGGAGGGGGCAGCAGTCCCCTCACTGGCCTCTCTGTGTTGCCTCTCTCAAGTCTGTTCTTCACAAAGAAGGCAAAAAGAACTTTTGAAAAAATACATCAAACCATGCAGTTCCCGATTTTAAATTCCTCAGTGCTTCCCCATGTTCCTCGGCTAAGATCCGGATTCATCATGGCCTATGCTCCGTCCAGGCGGGTCTCCTCATGTCACTGTCACCTGTCACGGGTGACTCCATCTCAGCCCTCAGGTCTCAGCCCAGCTATCACTCGTTAGCGAGGCACCACCCCATGCCGCCTCTCCAAAACGACTGCTTCCACGTGGTTTTCTGTCATTTCCCCACTTATCATGATCTTTAATTCCATTTTATTTTTGTAAGTATTGTTATTACTGTTACTGTTAGTTGCAGTAGTAGCTTTTGCTCATTGGTGTGCACTTCATGAGGTCAAGGGCGCATCTGTGGTGTTCACAGGAATGACCCTGTGCCAGGCACATAGTAGGCGCTTAATAAAGAGTTGTCGAAATGGAAGAGCAAGCTGTATGAAGACAAAAACAATGAAATCACTGTGCTTGTGTCAGAGTTGGGTGCAATATGTTTTGGTGTTGAAGGTCAAGGTGAAGGTGAAGATTAGGAAGAAGCTAGAGAGTTCAAGGTGGACCCTCAATGATGAACAGAGTTCGGACTTGATGAGATAAGGATTCATAGTCCAAAGCGTGGCACTTTTTATATTTTTTACAGACTGATCATTTTAGCAGTTGTGCCTGTGCTAGACTGTGTTAGGGTGAGGCTGGAATCGGGGGCTTTGTGATAGGAGGTGACAGCCCCAGCACAGAACTGGAGACAGAACTCGGAGGGGGAGATGCTGGCAAGTGCAGGGAAGGGGTGGACTCAAGGCTCCACGGTGCAGACTCTGGTGGTGGCGATGCACTGAGCAATCCAAGTGTAAGATACCGTGTTTCCTTTATTATATAACACTGAACTGTTAGCCAAAAAATCACATCAAAAAATGTTCTGACATGAACTTGATAGAAACCTTCATCTACACTCCAGCTCCGTTTGAGTGAGGCACAGAATTGACAGGAAGATGTCTTGACAGGAAGATGTCTTGACAGGTTTTGGTGAAAAGGAGGGTGAGATCGAAGTTTCCCGCTGCTGTTGATTTAATAAATGCGATAATGCACATGAAAACTGCACAGTGCTATCGGTTAAACTGTTCGTCCAAGTGATAAAAAAAAATAGTACTGACATTTACATTTTTTCGAATCTACCTAACATTTTTTCCTGTCAAATTCCTTTCAGAAAGGCGATGATCTGAAACAGATTTTTTATGATGCTGCATCTAATATTGTTCTCTTTTATTCATTTAAGCAATTGAACAAGATGAAGAAAACAGTGACAAGCACGTGGCGGCGACGGAAGCGGATGGTGTCCCGGGTTCTCAGGTATGATCGGTTCTGGGACCGTCCCTCGGTCACCTTTCTTCTGCGTTGGGAGAGGTGAGAGAGTGCAGGTTGGATGTAGGTTTTGCCTTTTGTGTTTTGTAAAGTAGTCATATTATGGGAATAAAGGACCTATTTTTGTAAAGAGACATTTCACAGGGAAGGCTCTAAATTGATCAGCACATGGATGATTTTATTCACGGGGGACAGACAGGTAGGGAGACATACTCCACTTCCCAGAGAAAGCAAGAGAAGGAAGTGAAGAACCATAACGCAGTACCCTTTGGGCAGGCCACCCCGTTGGGACAGCAGAGGAGGCTCCGAGGACGACCCAGCTGGGGCCCTGCCCACAGCCCAGCAGGGGCCCCGCCCACAGCCCAGCTGGGGCCCCGCCAGATGGGCCACCATGATGCTGCACCTGCCTGAGATTCTCTGCCAGCTCCCCTATCATGACATGGATGTGCTTTCGGTAGCAACCCACCTCCAAATGCGATTGCAGCCTGAAAACTTGGACCCCCTGGTGCTATCAGCTGTTAACTTTATGTCAAACAGGGCATTTAAAGGGTTTTTTTTTTTTTAGTGGGGAAAGTAGAAAGAAAAGCAGAACAGTGACTTTCTTTTGCAAGTCCCCAGTAATTCAACTCTGCTCCTCCGAATTCCTCCCCGTTGATGCCGGGCTGCAGCACTCTGTGGCATCACTAGTGAGCCAGCTGCCTGAGCTGGTTTCTTAACCCTTTGGAATTTTAGATTCCTCACCTATAAACCTGTCTGATGGGAGAGTTGTGAGGATGAAAAAGAAAAGTATGGAAAGTAAATAAGCCCCTGACTTTTATTTCACGTGAGAACATGGGAGGAGTAGGCTGAGGTGAGTCTGCAACTTGGAAATGGACTGTGGCGTGTACTGCACAATGGGCAGGTCGGGCCAGGCGGAGAAACCCAGGCAGACTCTGCACCCAGGCAGGACACGGTGCGGAAACTGGAAGCAGGTGAGCCCTCCCTGCAGGCTGCTGCTCCGTTCGCCCCGACCCTGCAGAGGAAGCCGCCTGTAAGGATTGTGGCGACAGTGTCACAATATCACATATGTTCAAACTTATCAAAATGCACACATTAAATATGTGCATATTTTTGTGTATTATGTATGCTTCAAATAAAGCTTCAAAAGGGGGCAAAAGAGTCTTAGCTTGGTTGACCCATTGTGCTTCACCTTTAAAGTTCTAAAAGTCTTCAGAATAATTACAGTACGTTTTCCAGGCAACACTGCACAGGTTGCAATGCTAACAGGGTCATATAAGGAATTGTTTGGAGTCATTTGGCTGTGGAAATATTCTAAGTGCTGCAGGCCACAAGTTCACACTGAAATTGCCTGTCAGGCCCCCAAGGAAACCTGGGCAGGAATTCCTTTCTTGAAGTTTTCTGTAATCATTAAGTTATTAGTGGGACAGATGTTTCTAAACTTAAGTTATTCTTTATTTGTTTTGAACTAATTCTACGGGCAAAAGTATGTCTTCATGCCTTTTTATTTCTGTGTGTGCCTCAAAAGAACACACAGAGCTTGCTCATTGAGGCCGCAGCAGCGGCAGCAGTGACATAATCACATAGGGTGTGCAAAGGAATGAAATCAGGAAACCGTTCAAAGCCAGTGAATCAATAATTAGATCAGGAACAGATTCTGTTTAGGCTTGAAAGTCATGAGTCAAGTTCACTGGGATGCGTAATTACAGGTATCACAAGCCGAGGCTGCGTAGGAGGGGAGGCAGCTGTCACCTTCTCTGATGCACCTGAGAAAGCCTTGTCCAGCCCTGACAGGTGTGGCTCAGTGGGTTGGGCATCATCCAGCAAACCAAGAGGTCACCAGTTTGATTTTCGGTCAGGGCACATGCCTGGCTTTTGGCCAGGTGCCCATTCAGGTTGTGCAAGAGGCAACCAATCCATGTTTCTCTTGCATATCCATGTTTCTCTCCCTTTCCTTCTCTCTCCTTTCCTCTCCCTCTAAGAATAAATATATAAAATCTTTATAAAAGGAAGAAAGAAAGGAAGGGACAGAAGGAGGGAGGGGGAAAGGGAAGGGGGAGGGAGGGAGGGAGGAACGAGGCCAAGCAAGCAAGCACCTATATGCCCAGCTCTCTGGTATTTCACATGATTGCAATCTTCGCTCCAGAATATATTTTAAACACATCAAGTGGAAACTGGTTTGCCATTCCTTCCCTGTAGGTGATGAAATATGTCACTAGGGGAAAAAATGCCCTTCAGCAGTAGAAAACTTTGGGTGTCTGAAGGGGTAAGACCATCACTAACCCCAGAGAAACTGGCCATGTACACAGTTCTCCCATCTACCGGAAAACTCTGGTTGTCCCCTGATGTGTTGATCCCTTCTTTTTTCTTTTCTCACTAAAAAATCTTCTCAGCTTAAGAAACCCCACTGTAATGCAGGAAGTGCGGGCAGAGTGGAGAGTGCGTGCAGAGCTGAGTCTGCCTCCCAGCCTGGCTTCCTCCTAGCCGGTGCCTGTAGGCAAGTTCTTTACGTCTGAAACCTGTACGTTCCTGTAGGGCAGCATCGGTGTCGTTGTCACCAAAGGGTCCCCACCCTGCTGGCAGTAATTAGCAAGCTTGGTTTTCATCTCTCTAAACTGGCGATGCTATAAAGTTGTCGTGAGTTTGAAATGAAGCAACATAAAACGCGCCTGCCACGCTGGCTCGTAAAAGAGTCACAGCAAATGTCAGGCGGCGTGCGCCTGACATTTGTCAGTGATCCAAAAGTCACTCAGGGCCAGACAGCCGGGGCTGTCTTCCCAGCTCTGCCACAGCAGCGGAGGGCCAGGACCCCTCTCTCCTGTGCCCCATGTCCTTTTCTGTACCAGCATTGAGAGGTAACATCTAGTATGCCACACCTCACGGGCACTAGACACCCTTCTAAGGTCGTTGCTCTCATTAATGTATTTAAACCCCACAGCAGACCCTATGAGGCAGGTCGTGTAACTATCACCACTCCACAGATGAGCTGGTAAAGGATGGATGGGGCCAGGAATCAAACCGAGGCAGCCTGGCTCCAGCCTCCTTGCTTTTTTAACCACCATAGTATACTGCCTTTCTGACAGCTATAAAGTAGGGGTAATCGTTAGGTTGTTTTGAAGATTAAATGAGTGTATGTAAAGTAGCTAGACCAGTGCCTGGCATGTAGTACTCAAAAAAGTTAGCCTGGTGACTTATCATTATCGTGATCATTTATCACATTGCTTTTGGCTCGAATATTTAAGGTATTTACCACGGCTAGACCGCAGTAGCACTGTCTGGCCACCATTAGGGTCTCTTCACAAACAGAAACATTCTAGACCCTTCATTCACGATAACTCTTCCATAGGACTGAGGATTAAAGCATCTTTACCAGACTGTACAGACTTTTTGCCAGGTTCTAGTTTAAGGGCTTTAATGAGATCTTCAGTGAGTAATTTATAATGCGTGAAACTTTGGAAATGCTCACATGTATTCAGATGGCCATTGACCACTGGGTTTAGTCATTGTTCTCACTGTCCCTATGCCCCATTGGAATCAATTACTTTAATATTAAGTGGTAATAACTGTTAATTATGTAAATTAACTAATATATATTTGACTGTTAATTTATCAGTAACCAAAGTGTGACTCTTCTGTACTAGACTGAAGACAGCTCTCATTTAAGGCCGGGATGGGTGTCACAGGAAGAGAATGATCCTTTTGAATCACTGATGTTAGAATTTATTAGAATTTGCTTATTCTTTCTTTTTGCTTCTTTATTTGTGAACTCCGCTGCCCTGCTTAGCAGTATTCCATAATAGATACAGATCTGAGCTGGAATGTCTCTCAGGTCACAGCAAGATAAAATGTGGGTGACCTCCCTATTCTAGTCTGGAAGTATGAGGAATCAAATATACATGATGAGGGAACACCTTGCTTCATCAAGTAAATAAATATATATTATGTTTCGTTTTCATCAGAAGAGAAAATTATATGAATAAAATAGACGACGAAACACACTCCATGTAAACATGGTTTCTGCCTTCTTCCCTGCTCCACGCACACTCTGGCAGGGTGCAGGACCACGGAGAGCTTGTCTCGGATGGACCTGTCCGACCAGCGTGGTATATTGACCCAAGTGATTCCACAGAGGAGGAGGCTGGGAGAAATGAGCCACCCTGAACTTGCATTGCCTCAGTCTTTTACAGTGAGGGGCTGGTAGTCGCTGAATGATTTCCACGGCCCTGTGACACCCCGGCATGGTGCTTGAGGCTTGTACCAGCGATGCCCTGGGCATTTGTAGGCCTGCCTTGGCCATCACACGTTGTGTCGTGAGCAGGTGCACGGGGAATGTGTCTTGGTCCTTCCTCAGTCATCAGTGGGAGTATTTTTCTGTTCCAGTCAGTCAGGAAGAAGTGATTCTTAATTTCCTTCCTTTCTCTGAAGAAATTTGAGAAAATGAATACTTGCTGCCCTAATATATAATAATAATAATAATAATAATAATTGTTATTTCTATTATTAATTGTGTTCTGAATTGTCCTGGAAGGAACTCCTAATATTTTCTTTGTTGGAAATAGGTACAGACAATGGAGTAGTGTGACATACCATCCTAACCTATCAGTGTTTTACTCTGCAGCTTCGGTTTTCTGTTTCAAGTCGTAAAAAAAATATTTTATGACTTTCTATTTAAGGTTTAATTTTTAAAGAACTGACTCTGTTTTGTAATAGTTGTTCAAACACCCTAAATTCATACTGAATAGCATTCCGTAATTGTAAAAATGCTTCATAAAAGGTGGACTCTTTCATCCTGGCTGGTGTGGCTCAGCTGGTGGGAGCGTCATCTCGTATTCATTTTCTCTCTCTCTAACCCTCCCCCTCCCCACCATGCCTCCCTCTCTCTCTAAAAGCAATGAAACACTGTCCTTGGGTTAGGATTAAAAAAAAAAAGTGAAAATAAGATGGACTCTTTTATCTTGGATTTTCCCTGGATAGCAATTTTGCATGATGTT